TGTACTTTGTGTTTAGCAAATGTTTGTTGTTCTGCAGCCACAATGAAGGCCAATGAAGTGCCACTGTATTCCTTATTGTATATATTTTCCTCAAAAACCCCAGGAAGTACATAATAAAACAAAGAAATAAGATGTACTCTATATTAGATTTATTTTACAAAACCGTTTTCATCTTTATTCAGGCTCAGTTTGCTGTTTGTAGACTGAAAAAAGAGAATTGCATAAAACCGACAAAAAACCCCTCCTGACACATTGGCCTCCCCTGCCTTTGTGAAAGATGCTCTTCCAGTTGGAAGCTTTGCCACCTCTTGTCTTCATTTTTTAGCCCATTGTCAAAGAACAGGATCCTGCAGCGTAAAGGAGAAAGAGGAGCAGCGAGAGAAAGACAGATGAGAGGGGTTTTTGTTCTTCCTGCTGTGAATCAGAGAGCGATTTATCACCAAAAAAGGAGTGTTGGGGTTCAACACCTTCTTGACCCTTTAACACACACTCAAACATACACATTTTCTCTCTTCCGCACAAAACACAAATATCAGTTGCACTGTCAGGGTGTGTCTGTCCCTTCAGTGAAAGCCACGTACCACAGCACATACCCCCAGTATCTGCTACACCTGCCGTCTCCTTCTGATCTCTGTCCCTCTCCATCAATTACTCCATCTCACGCTTTCAGCGCCACCTCCATCCATCACTCTTCCTCTCTTCTCTATACGCCCATCCTTTCTTTTGTCTTCATCCTCCTACCTGTCCTTCCATCCATCAGCTGGTACAGTGGTAGTGTTTTGACAAGGGCATGGCCATAGGTTAGCACATACATCATTACTGTCAGCAGCAGCCTTAAATGGCTCTACGATCAGATTTTTGGCTCTAAGTTTGTTAGATATACACGGTTTGACAAGTAATTGCTGCTAAGTTTGCTGAAAAAAGTTAGGGCTTTACCCACTGATTATTTCTTATATTATTCAGTGGTTGAACTGTCACTTCACTGTCAATTCAGGAGGCATTATCACAAGAGAGTGGGCTGCTTACTGATGTAGTTGCAGTGGGTGAGGAGTAAAGATTATGTAGAAAGATGGTGCATGTACACTATTTCAGCATCTGGCTTGAAAGCATCCGATTTTAGTCTGCCTGGAATATTTCTTGAATGCATTTACACTCAGCTTTTGTGACACTGGATAGCTATCTTATCGATCCGAGATGCCTGAATGACTAAATGCAAATGCAGTCGTTTGAAAAGCTAAACAGTAGGTGCTTAAAACAACCACCAGTTATGAAATCTGATTGTTTTTCTTCTTCACCAATGCATTGTGACACATTTCAGACTCACAAAACTCATTCAAAGAGCAAAGAGACAGACAGAGAAGGAACTCAAGTAATTACCACCCTCTTCCTCTCAAGAGCTCTCTCTTCCTCGCTCTCGGCATCCCTCCTTCACGCCCCTTCCTCACCCCTGGTCTCCTCCTGCCCTCGCTCCTCTCCTCGCTCCCGCTCCTTCCTTCCCATCAACCATCTCACCCGTCACCTCCTTAATCTCTCCCTCATTTCTCTATCCACCTCGCGTGCCCCGGTGGTTTTCTGGGATGCTTTTCTAGAAGCACACACACACCACAACACACATACACACACATACTTGCACCTGCAGTATTCATATGCAAACACGCATTATTCACAGGAAAATGCATGCATACGTGCAAACACAAAGAAACATGCATGTATAGATTTTGTTTGCAGGAAAACACAACCATTTAGATGTGCATACACACACACATGCACAAAATAGGGTAATGGAGGATGATTAGGGGTGAGAGGAGGGTGGAGCGAAGACATGACCTCATGACTCAAGTAACCACTCAGAGCACCACGTTCGTATGAACACTCAACCTTCACGAGAGCTTGATTGCTCCTGGAGGAGCTTCATATGGGTGGGTGTGGGTGTGTGTGTGGGCAAAGGTGATGAAGAAAGGGAGAAAGAAAGGGTGAGACAAGAGGTAGAGAGAGAGGCTGTCTTCCACAACGTCCATCCCCTCTCCTCTCAGCAGAGTACAGTACTTAGCAGAAATCCTTGATGGAAGCGATCGGCCAATTCAGCCTTTTACCTGAAGAGACCACTTGAAGAAAAATGCAGAAATTGATTAGAAATTAAGTTCTGTGTGTGTGTGTGTGTGTTGTGTGTGTGTGTGTGTGTGTGTAGGGGTGTGTGTCGTGTCTGAGTGCTGAGGTACAAGGTACAAGGTAGTGTGTGAGTTTGGTTGTGTGTTTCAGGACTGTCAAGTTCTCCGAGGAGCAAAGTTCAAACATAGAAAATAAAAAACAATTATGTTGTAATAGTTATAATACATTAATAAAAAATACGTTATTTTGCTTGAATGTATGACAGTATAGATTCAAATAAAGCGATGTTTCTCCTTTCATTTGGACAGTTAACATTAACTTTAAGAATATAGAAGTATAACCCACTGCCATACAATGATGTAAAGGGAGGAGAGTAGGGAGCTATTGTGACCTTCATGGTAGTCATTTCATTAATTCATTTCAGCTCACTATGAAAATTAGTTTGCTAAGAAGCTTGCTTGAGGTGACTCAAGCAAGAGGTGAACTTTCTTGATAAAACTTTCTTTTATCAAGGTTTTTAATTTTCTACATCGAGATAATGTCTGTTATTTCCGTACTTATGAAATTCTTTCAGACGTCTAAAGGCAAAAGTGTTTATACAGTTTATTTTCTCATCTGAGAAATGAGCTGGGCACGATAATCATGGGGAATAACGGCGCACAGTTTTGGTCAGTTTTCCTCAGGTTCATGGTGTTTATTTTGAGACACTAAACACAATAGAATAAGGTATAACTTGCATATTCATGAACCTTTAGGAACTGCCACTGCTTCATTTTCATTGAGCTTAAGAGTAACGTGTGTCTCGAACAGCAGCTAAATAAGTCAAAGTTTACATATTTCACAGCATAGGGTATGAGGCTATGCCGTACCCACAGCGTTAATTCGACACAGAATTATGAATCAGACTTAAGCCATGTCTGTCAGTGGCATCCATCTGTAATGATACATGGTCCCTCAGACAATTCACTATAGCAAACCCTGACTGAGCTCCCAGGCTGATGGTTTAATTGATATCAACTAAAAAATAAAGTAATAAGTAGCAAGCAAAGACATATTACGCTAATAAAAATAAATCGTGGTCTACAAATGAATGGGGAAAAGAGAAGGGAAGATGATGGAAATACAAATAGATGATGAGCAAGTGAGGAGCATCGGAGAGGCAAGGTGAAGAGAGAGGAGGTGAGGGAGGAGGATGGCAAGAGAGATAGAGGAGAGATGAGAGGAGCGATAGCACGATGGACGCCTGAAGGACGCGTGTACTTCGATAACAGATACCATCGGAGAAGATGCTATCGCCTCTCCTATCGCTCAGCAACACACACTGTTAATAGACAGCAAATAGAGCACTGTGTGTGTGTACAGTACGTGTGTTTCCTTTATGCATGTATCAATGTATAGAAACGCTTTCTTTTATGATGCTAGCGTATACGGTTTCTCTATGTTGACTCCTGAGCCTCTTCTACCTCACCATTTTGCTTTTTTATTCACCCTACATCTGTCTTTTTCCTGCCGAACCCGCTTTCAAGCCATTATGTGGCTATTATATCACAAATGACTCATTCCAGAGAACAAGAGAATGAACGAGAGAGGGAGAGGGGGAGAATTATCTAATTGAATGAAATCATTTCTCCAAGTTGGCAAACTGGTTCAAGTGCTATTAAGTTGTTCACGGGCTTGCATTAGCTCTGTGTCTCTCTCTGAAAATGTTGGTGGTTGCGGGTAACAAAAGAAAATTGTCACTGGCTAGATGTGTTTGGGGGCTCGTCAGACCGTTTCACACTGAGACGCACACATGAGCGCATGCACGTACACACACACTCAGGCCTATCCATCAGCCAATCATGTGGACAGATGGGTCATCAGCTTTCTAATTGTGTGATTGGCTAAAATCAGCGGCAGAGGATGCACCGGACGGTTGGATGACACATTAGGTTTCTTTCCATGTAAACAGGGAATTTCTGTGTGTGTGTGTGTGTGTGTGTGTGTGTATATATGTTTGTTTTATGTGGGTTTTTCATACATGATCAAGACTGGCTGAATGGCAGAGTGACATTTTCTACAAATCAAAACCGACAAATGGAATATGTGTATGTGTATATATTTATTTTATATATATATATATATATATAAAAAGCGATACTAAAGGTTGAATGAATTAACCATATATATTACCAAATCTTTTGGTAAACTTTGGTAATCCGCAAGGGTTGTGAAGCACAAGGGCCAATGTACAAATGGCAGGAGCTGCAGTTCTTTAATAAAGGTCAAATGTGAAATGATCATTCTCACACTAATTATGAATCACTATATCTGTAAATACAATCAGTATATCACTATATCTGTAAATACAATTACAACATTATGTTTCTACCATATTGTGCAGCCCTAAAGCACAATGACCCAAAGAGCTGAATGGCAGAGTGAGCTGCTCTCAGTCCTCTCTAATAGGTACCTTAAGGTTTCATCCTCTCTGAAGACTGCAGCATTGAAGGGCACAGTGTCCCTCCAGAGGGCCAATGAGCTGAGGAGGATCTGTGCTTCAGATGGAGGGGATGCTGATTGACAGAGTGCAGATGAGGCAGATGAGGCCAGCAGTAGACTGGCAGATATATACACACGGCCTTGCCCGTCACAGGAAAATCAATGATTACTAATAAAGTTTATCACTTCCTGGGACAATTAGCCATGAGTCGACAGAATTTGCACCAGCTCATCTGCTGTGCAGGAAGTGTAAAATAAAACCGAACACATGACATCATTGAAATAAAATGTGTTTGTATAGCACTTGCTGTATACCAGAGATTACACCTTCTTCTTCTTATCTCTCACAAATACGATTTAAAGTCCTATACACAGAGAACATGAGGAAATTCACCCTTTTGGATCAGTTCATGTATTACTGACATACTTTAACCAACCAGCATACACATGAGACATACATACACGTGGATGAAGCTGGCAAAAGCATGTTACCAGTGTGTCAAACTTTATATTGTATGTCTTAAAATGGTTGTTTCCCATCACCATCCCACCCAGAAACACCAGAGAAACAAGCTTCTATGTCAGTTCTCTGTGCATAGTGAGTGCAGTTGCTTTGCCACCAGTGTGAATGAAAGCTGTCTGTTTCCCTGCAGGCTGTGAGTGACCAGAGACTGATCTATGCTGGTAAACTGCTGCCCGACCATCTGCACATCAGAGATCTCTTCAGACAGCTCCATGTGAGAATATGTTTGTCTGTTTGCACGTTGCTGTGCTTACGAGCAGCACTTTTCATTCTGTCGTAATATATTTCCATAGAACTGTGTGTCAGTGAAGTTTCACATACTGCAGACTGACCGCAGAAGCTTCAGTCAGTGAACATCACAGGTTGATGGTATGCCTTTATGCTGCTGTTACACTGGCGACCAGCGGGCTACAGAGGTTGAGTGGAGTCTGCATTTCTCTCACCAGCCGCTGTCTGATAATAAAAAGCAGCTAAGGGTTTCCATGGCCTGTGAAAGGGTTGTTGTGCTTTCTGAAAGCAGCACTGTATATTATCCCATGTTTCTGGTTCACTGTTTGTGTGGGATTTCCAGTAGAGGCTCATATTGCTGAAGATAAAACAGTGTCCGCTGTAAGACAAGCCCAGCACTGAAAACATCCAGAGTCCTCCAAGAGGACACAGCACCTTGTGTTTATAGATCAACATGATCACAAAGCTCACTGTCTCTGACTGTACACCATGCATTCATGTTTCATTTAAAGACGAAGAATCAGAGCGTTCAGATCATGGTCTGTGGAACAGTTCCACAAAGTCTGGGTTCTGCTGTTTTCAGCGCTGGTTTCATGCTCATACTTTAATTCTGTTTGCTGAATGTATCGGTGTGTTTTACCGTGTAGCTCTTCTAATCAGGCATTTATCTCCACTCTCTCAGAATGAAGCCACTCCCACACTGCACCTCGTGTGTGCTTTTAGGAATCAACCCCAAGGACAACTGGGAGCCAGACCTAAGGTGAGACATGATGACGTTTACTCATAATCAACCTGTTTTAACAAACCACTTTTTCAAGAGAGAAATTGTGTTCTACCCCCTGGTTAGGGGCAACCAGGTTGTCATGCCCATGGAGCAGCCAGGTATTTAGTGTCATGCCCAAAGACACATTTGCAGGAAACAGATCACAGCTGATTTAAAGTTGGTGGTGATGTTCAGAGGTTGTGTTCAGTGCTGGGTAAATGAAACTGTTCAGGTATTGGTTTTATTTTCAGATTGTATGGCTGTGTAAGCAAAACGGCTGGTTTCAGTCAACTGAAATTCTTCATTTGCATAGTGGGCTTGTTTAACATACTCACCTTCCTTATTTGCAGTTTACATCTGGGTCCTTCAACAAAGTCTACTTTATAATTTTACTTTAAAACTCATTTAGATATTCTGAATAATTTCATCATATAAGGACATAATTCTGTTACTTTTCACTCACAGATGAATCCAGATCAAAGTTAGCCGTTGATTTCCAACTGTGTTTTATAAATGTTTCAGTGACGTTTCAGTCTCATAAATTCCACAACGTACTGTTCATCAGCTCTGAGAGACTTTAGAGCAGCTTGAGGCTGCTGTGACACATCAAGCTCAAAGGCAGCTAGATTAGTTTGAAGGTGACAGGTGCACTCCTTAACCCCCTCCCTTACCATCCTACCGTGAAGAGGAACTCCGCTACAGTTTTCAGATCAAAAGTACAGCTAAAGATAACTCGCTTTAGTTTCACAATACAACCCCGCCTCAACTAATACTGAAAAACCTCCAGGTGGTTGTACATCCCAGACAGTAGAACTCATCTCTACATCGCTACAATTTTAAACCATTCCAAATTTGCTTTTGCAGACCAAAGAGACCCAACAGCCACATACCTCCAGTCCAAGGCCCATGGCGGCTTCTGCTTCACCCAGTCCCAGCAGCTCCTCTTCCACAGTCCACACTCCCAGCACACCGGAGCTGAGGCAGAGGAGGCAGACCTCTGCAGCCTCAGCTGCTGCTCCATCAGGAACTCCGTCATGGCCTGCTGCTGCCGTGTAAGCCACAGTATAAGGAACAGTGTGTCTGTATTTCCGTATGAACTGCATTTAGTTTTATTAGCATGACCAGGCGTCAGGTTTTAGCAGTGTGGCTGTGTTCAGGATGTTTTTCCCATAACAACTGAAAGTACACCGTCTCTCTCTGCTGGGTAAACATTAGTGTTGAACTGATATTAACTGTCACCACTCCCTGCAGGCCTGGAGCACCACAGATGACCCAACCAACCTTTCCCACCTACTCCCTGTACAGCCCTCAACAGATACTGTGGCTGCAGCATGTCTACGCTAGACAGTATTACATGCAATAGTGAGTATTCATTTATACACTTCACATACTCCGCTGCCCACTCTCTCATTGTGCTCCCACATGGCCATGGATGGCTTTGACCAGCTTGTTTGTAATACTCTTGACGTTTGTCTCCTTCTCCGCTAACAGCCACGCGGCCCTGGCAGCAGCAGGCACCGTCCCCTCTGCACCAGCTACAACCATTGCCCAGTACCCTCCTGTTCCGGCCCACCACGTGCCTGTTCCGGCCCCCTTAGCCAATCAGAACCCCATCGACAACCTGCCGGCGAATCAGAACCCAGCGCAGGACGGCGCTTTCATCAACCCCGCGGAGGCCAACCAGAACATGCGGATGAACGCGCAGGGCGGGCCTGTAATGGAGGACGAGGAGGACGTGGAGCGTGACTGGCTGGACTGGTTGTACACCACCGCAAGACTGGGCGTTCTGCTGATGATCGTGTACTTCAACTCCAACCTGAGTCGCTTTCTGCTGGTGATGAGCACCCTCCTCCTCATGTACCTGTGAGTTCAACATGCTGCTCCCTGCTTTTGACAGAACCTTTACAATAAGAGCTTCACTGCACTGTTGTGGGTGGAGTGACTTTACGCTCTCAGCCTTATCCCCTTCCCTATCCGCCCTCATCAGCAGCTTGTGTTGGCATCCAGAGCTTCTCAAGAAAGCCAGGCAAACACTCAGTTCTCAATATCTATCATTAAAAACTATGCAAGGCCATACCTGGAGTCCAGGTTGTTTGCATTGTCCACTAAAGCCTGTCTATGTGTGATGTTACCAGCAGTACACCATATATGTTACTGTTTGTTTGGAGCATAGTAGAATGCCTGTTACATAATAATATCTGATGTGTCACTAAATAAACACAGTAGCTGATGACTGTGGATACTTAGAGCCCAGCCTTCAGGATATAAACCAGTTCTAGCAAAGCTTCATATCAGAATGAACAACTGAAGGCAGCTGAGCTCAAAGGAAAACGCTAACAGCCCACTGGGAAAAGTGTCTTTATTTTATATGTTTATGGTCTACAGTGCTTTACTTTCAGGAAATGACCTGCTAACAGTACTGGTCAGTTAATCGATTAGTCAGTTGACTAATAATATTCAGGAACAATCTTCATAATGGTTGAAATCAGGCATCAAGCAACAGTGTCAATCATAAATCAGATCTGTTGCATTGCTCCAACAAGACAAGAAAGTGGAAGATGTCAGCCTGCGCTCTGGAAAACTGTGACAGGCATTTTATAGACTAAACAACAGTCCATTCATCAAAAGAAATTCAAAAAATATCAATATATAATAATTCTAATAATAAGAATCATTTGCTGCATTGGTTGCACTCATTAGCAGTTTGTTTTGGTCTCATTAGCTGTCAGAGTATATAAAATAAGAGTTGCTGATAAAGGCATCCTGTCAGTGAAAAGGAGGCTGTGAAACTAGGACATTGATCCAAAGATGTTTTGAGGAAGTTTGACTGGTCTCTTCTGTGAACAATAATACTGAATGCAGTGAGGGACTTGTTTTCTCTTGTTTCCACTCAACCTGTTGAAAGCAGTTCAATGAACATGGTTCAGATAGTAGGTTTCTGTTCCTGGGTTAGCAGATAGCAGCAGTGCTCAGGGGAAGCATGTTCCTCATTAACACTGCTGCTATCATCAGCTCAGGCCACTTTGTTCCTTTACTCAACATGTTCCAGTCTCACACTCTGTTTGCTGTTACGCAACCATTCACTGAGACACACACTTATATACACTACCACTCTAAACTTTGGGCTCACCTCTTATATCGGTGTTTTTCTTCTTTCCTTCAGTAATGGCAATATAACCAGTATAATTCAGACACATGTATTATTTATATTTGAGATTTTCAATCTTTTTTCCAGTCCAGAAAAGTGACCCAAATATTTACAGTAGTTTAATTAAGTGACCCCAGATCAGTACTGAACCAAACAGTGCTTACAGTCTACACAGTGGGTACACTAAATAGGTTCAGACTGTCATCTGTCAGTCCACAGTATGTAGAGCTGATACTCTGTGGACCAATAGTACTAACTGTAAACTAACCTTCTACTTCTGTTTTTAAGAATAGCTTTGGTAAAGCAGCACTGTTGAATGCAGCCTGGTATAGGCAGTATTGTGTACTTGACATTGAAACAGGAAATGTGCACAGATTTGATGCTAAGCTTCCACTTTCTGTTACCAGTGACTGCTGATTTTGTATATTCTCATTGAACTGTTGCTCAGAGAGATCTTTGTCTCTTTCTTCCCTGTCAGTGGGTAGTTTGGTTGAAGCAGCACAGCGTTTTCTTCTCCATGAGCAATTTCATACGAAATAATATATTTGTAAAGTGGACTTTTTACAACTTAAATGCATGAAAGACCATTAAAACTACAGTGTAGTCCTCTCAGCCATCTGAGTGTACCATATCAAGCTTTTCTGGCAGTTTGACCCCAAACCACTGAGCAATAGTGTAGATACACATTACATTAGTCTAGCAAAGTGTTTGTTTGTCAAGGAAAATGAAATTACTGAAAGTGAGAGAAATGCTTTCATTACTCTGAGGGACAATCCATTTCTCAAACACATTAACTTAAGCTAAGGAGTAACGCTGTGTGTTTGTGTCTGCTAATAACTCCTGACACTCAGTATGCATTTGATTAATAATTAGCCACCAGCAACAGTTGGAAAGTTAATGTTTAGAGACAGCCCACGTCTGTTTCTGTCCTCCACCCTCAATCCAACACACAGCGCCTGTTAGCCGCAAAAAAGTAATCAGGTGTTAAGAAGTACCGTGGATATGTATGAGGAGTTTGGAGAAGACGTTCCCAACAAGATAAATGACTAATCTAATGCAAACTAGAGTATTTATTCAAGATGAGGATAAGATCCATTTTTCTTCACCCAGAAAAAAGAGATGTGAAAACGAGTGTAAGATATATGAGTAAAATATGAGTAATATAAAAATTAAACATTATTATAAATCTCAATAATGTATCTTTAAATACATGTGTTTATATATGTTTATGTTCCTACTATTATTTAAATTCATATTACTAATATTTATATTCATGTGAGAGTGATAAACCCACAGAGAGTTTCCCCCCAGCTCATTTTAGCACACAGACACAGTTCCACACTAGCTGGTGAACACAGTGGAGCATTTAGCAGCTAAACAGACGGACATTTCCCTCAGGAGCTGGTAGAGACACCAACTTTAAATAAATGATAATGTTGTTCCTTGTCTGCCGGATGTAAAAGGGCTTGTTGGGAATGAATGAATGCAGCTTTAACTAGACGTAGTATTGAGTGGAGTGCAGTAGTTGCAGAAAGGCATAGTCTTTTCCATTCTGTAAGGAGTTCCTGTTTGCCCAGTGCTAGTAAAGAACATCATCAAGTACATCTAGCAACTCACACAAATGGTAAAAAAGAATGAAACAGGTTTTTCCAGAGCTGATGATGGAAGTAGCTAAGGAGTGAGCCTATTGCTTTCTTTTTATCTCTGTTGAGAGCACATGCACCGTGCCGATCGTAAAATAAGTCTGTTTTCTGACATGACACCAACAAACAGCAGAGTTTGCAAATGTACACACCACTTCCTGTCAGGGTGTAGTTGAGTGGAGGAAACGAAGCTTTGACTCAGTTTTGAATTCAGGTTTATGTTTTCCTGAAGGCGCCTCAAAGGCAGTTTGTTTGGCATTGATATCGATGTATTTTCTCCTCCAGACACACTGCTGGTTGGTTTCCCTTCAGAAGGCGAGTGCAGGTCCAAGGAGCCAACCCTCTGCAGCCCCCTGTGGCCCAGCACAACCAGCAGAACGAGAACGAGAACGAGAACGGGAACCCAAATCCAGTAAGAGAACATCTCCCAGATGTTTCCCTCTGATTCACCTTCATTTAATTGTGACCAGCCACGAGAAAACCAGCAACAAGTCTCCCGAGAGGCATTTTGAGTTATTTACAGATTCTGAAAGTGCTGGAACGTGTAGTTTCTAAGGCTTCCAATGCCATGTGGCTACAGCACATTGGATGCTGATGCAAGATTGAAGAAGTTGGCTGCTCCAGTTTGAATGTATGCACATCTCGAAAAAGCGCCTTTAGGGGAGAACAGCCACCCTGAGAAAAACATTTGCCAGTCTCACCTCATGGAAACTCTGTACCCCCTCCCTAGCAAGCACACATGGCCTGCTCATTTGTGCATCTCATCTGTCAGCTGCCAGGCGTAGAGAGAGTATTGTAGTGGGTTTGAACAATGGCTTATCAAAAAGCACTTATCATGTAGTTAATGTTGACTGTAGTGTCATCAGAATTAGAAGCGGTGACCTTTATCTGGAAATGGAAATTGCCCTTTGATGGTACAAAAGCGAGGCCCCTGGAATATCATTTCGATTGAACTACACCAGGATAAAGATAGTTACAATCGCCTGGGCCCATAATTTCCAAGCTATAAAACCACATTCTACAGCATCTGCAACCACATCTGCTTTAAGCACCCTCTAACCCAGCGCCATGGGAGGACTGTGCTATTTTTTGGGTCGCCTCGCTCATCATAAGGTGAAATGAAATTGAAATTGAAAATCTTTGTAGAAGGTGCAGGTGTAGATGGCATCAGTCTGGTTGCTGGAATACGCTGCTCACATGTTACCGTAGATATACTGCGTCTGATATCTTACTGCTTCCAGCTCCTCTGGGCGAGGCCGAGAGAGTCTCCTCGTCTTCATCTTCGCTAAAGGTCAGCTGTAGATTAGGGATGTTCTCCAGTGTAATACAGTCGCCTTTCATGTCAGTGCACTCATCAGAATCAGAAGTGAAATCAGCGTCGGAATAACCAGAAGTATCCGGCGTCTCGCTAAAGTACTGCCATAGATTTGCCTGTAACAGCCACGATTTAGCTCTTCTGCAATGCATTTTTCCTGGTCCATCTTCATTCAATGTTGAAATCACATGCAGCTTTCCAGAAGTAGCAGAACTTATGCGGGGGGGGGGCCTGCATAAGTAGCCATGCGGTTCGCTACTAAACGTGGCCCTGATTGGCCGAAAAAAATAACAAAAGCACATGATTGGGTCACAGGTAGCCAGTATGGAAATTACCTGTATCGCCAGACACGCCCAACGAAGCGCCGGCCTTTCCTGAAACTATACCCGATTTCAAACACAAAATGTATACTTTTTAAGCAACCAGGTATACTGTTATCTGAAACATGGAGTGGCTTCTTCATGATCTCAACTTGCACATTCTGTAAAAAAAACGAAAACCCCTAATTTTGAAAAAAACGATAGTTTCTTTGTTTATGTGAATTCCTCCCAGCCGACTTGCTGCTGGTTTTGCCGTGGCGCGTCACAATTAAAGTCTTATAAACTGTGTGAGGCATCTTCATGCCTCAGTGGTTCAAGGCCTGTGCTCTGTTGACATGACCTTCTGGGTTGGGCTCTGTTCTATAACCTGCATAAGGGCATGGATGTTCCCTTTAAATGTAGCAGAATACCACTGGGGAGTCTGATCTAATCAGAGTGGGCCCAATAAACTAAACTATAAACTATAGCATGATCTGTAGATTGAAACAGTATACTTAAGCTGGAAGACACTTTAAACCCCCCCCGCCATAAATCACCTTTTTTTAACGCTGACTGTGTCCTGTGTATTCAGGCTGACGGGCTTGCTGAGCGGGAGGAACCTGCTGCTGCAGCGGACGGATCAGACGGACCAATGACGGCAGTTTTAGTGCCTCCTCACAGGGTGTCGGCCATGTGGACGGCCTGGGTTTTCTTCAAAACGTTCTTCTCCTCCCTCATACCTGAGGCTCCTCAGGGTGTGGCCAACTGACCACCTGGGACAGACAGAGTCACCACTGTTCTTCATATTTTTCCATGGGGAACAATAATCTCTGGTGGAAGGAAAAGGAAGATGTCCGTGTGTTTTAACAATGACTGGGACCTGCGCCAGGCCCTTGAATTTCCAAACTGTTGACTGGAAACAAAGGACACAAAGAGCTAGAAAGACCAGACCACATTCCTAATAATAAATAGTTCAGTGGGATCCCAGTTCTCCTTCTGCTCTCTCAGCTGAGGGTGAACCTCTCTGTTGGACTGTCGTGTCTTACTGATTCTCCTGTGAGGACGTGTGTATGCAGGCGTTCTGATCCCCTACGATTCTAAATCAGCTTGTCAGAGTTTTCATGATGAAGAATATAATCAAGATCAATACATGTTCAGTTGAAGTGAAAATCCACGCACAGACTCCGTACTGTATGTAAAGGCTATCTGAATCTGAATTCCAAGGACACGTTCATTTTGTTCTTTTCAAAACCCTCCGTGTATGGAGCCTGGGTTTGAATCCAGCTGTAAAAGTGGGACAGATGTTGTTTTCACTTGTTTCAGCAACGTGTTTTAACTTTAATAATATATGATTTTAGGTTTTAAAATCCTACTATTGAAATTCACACAAGATCCAATATTCCAACTATATACTCAGTTATACAGTATGCTTGTGAGAGGAACTTCAGTTCACAACCAGTACTTAAAATCCAAATCATGAACAAAAATCATCAACTCTGATTCACAAAATTGAAAATAACATTGCACCTCTGACATGACTTTGGTTTACCAGTTCTGTTTTGGGTGGATTTTCCTATTATTGGGTGTCAGGTGAAGGTGATTGTGACCAAATAAATATAAATGTAAAATAGAGATGTTGCTATAGTAAACAAAAAACAATCACATTTTGTAAATGTACTGTATGTACACAAAGCACTTTACAACATGTATTTTATGCAAGCGTCCTTACATATAGAGGGGTAATGATTTATTATTCTTCCTGGGAAGATTGTTAATCTGAATATAATGCGTAGAGGGCTCAGAGTTGTGGGTTATATGTTGTTTTTCACAGAAGGGACTAAGTATACATTTCATTTGATATAAAATCCCATTAAAACAAAACAGGTTAAAGGTTCGATCAGTGCTGTTTAAATTAAAGCAAAAACTAAGTTAGAATTATTTATAATGTCAGAAACCATCTTTACAATAGTTTTGGAATTGAGGCAAGTTTGCTTCTCAGCTACGAAGCCCTAATAAAGAAGCTAGCCCACATCATTCCTAATGTACCTTTAGTTTTTAAGCAGTTTTATATCATACTGACAGAGAAACCTTCACTGTCACAGATCAGATGACTGAAAGAAAACTTCTTTGAAATGCAGTTTCTGCTGACTTCACTCAAGTCATCAAAATAATGCAGATAGGTGACTTGAGATCAGATCTGTTGTTTTGCATTAACTGGCTGTAATCAGAGCATGTTTTATTCAACCGTAACAAGGAATAAGTGGGTTTTACTATCTTCTCTTAACAATGTCCCTGTATACAGGGTGTATTACATCTTTAAGGAAAGGTGTGAAAAGTAATTTCCATCTTCTTGTAATCCAATCCATTTTGTGTTCTGCATTAACCCCTGCTGTAAAGTAAGCACTCGGATTCCCTCTGGGGAGCGGTCGTAGCTCGTGACATTGGTCACCATGTAGAATTGAACTTTTAATGTTAAGATAATAAAGTTTTCTTTTCTGTTTCTTTTTTTGTTTGCTTATTGACGGATGTTGTAGAGTCAAGTGTGTTTAGGGAGACTTGTAATAATGGATGCAATAAATATTCTTAACTTTAACGGTGCCCTGTTGTGTTGATTTGTTGCAGATATGGTTTGTGAGGACAGTGTTTCTACTCATGTTACTATAGGGCACACGTTTACCGTAACCTGATACAATATTATGACCTTGAGTACACTCTGTAGTTGCACCAGCTCCACTACACATACAAGCAGAGTTCGCTGCAGACATGTGCTTATGTTTGTGTGTGACCCAACCTCCAGGACTCCCCTACTTACCTGCATGTTTTTTTTTTCATTTGCGAAAAATATTACAGAAAGAGAAAATCATAAGGCAATTGGTACAGTTTTACATTATATTACAAGAGGACAGGATGGTTGGACGGCGTTACAACATACAGATGTTAGGATGATAAGGGGGTTGGCATGGTGTGTAATAACAGGTGAGGTATGTGTGTAATGAGATTGCAGAAACCTGCATGTTTTTCCTGTAACTGTCAAAACCTGTAAGATGAGACATGTTTGATTTGCCTAAGACACGACTAAACCCTAACCCTAAGAGTCTACAGGCATACTGGCAGCTTTGTGCGGCTGTATGTAGTAGGGTTGAGCAATTACTCGGCTGAAACAACAATCCAGAACAGATAATGTACCAAATTACTAAAATATATCAATATGTTTTAAGTTTTTAAAAGATATTTTAAAAAGTTTCTTTATTTCAAAAACTTGTTCTGTGAATAGTTCTCCTACTCTTGTGATCAAATTCTGAACCTCACTTCTGTACATAGTTTTTTAATAAATATAGCAACTGATCAACCCATATCAATTTCAGACTTAAATTGACAACTTCAGGTTTAAGCCCCGCCCACTACGAGTACGGCAACAAATACAGGTTGAACAGATACAGGTAATGGTTAACTCACTCATCACTAGCACATACGCACAGCAGTGCTTTGAGCTCTGTGCTAATGTGCATGCTAACATGTTGATGCCATTAACAGCAGATATAATGCTTACCATTGTCACTATGTACACACACCACTCAGCACAAAGTTTGCAAAGTTTTGGTATTAAACCAAATGAAGTGACTGCAGTTCATCCTGAGGGGAACATGAATGACTGTACCAAATGTCATGGCAATGTATCCAATAGTTGTTGAGACATTTCACCAAAAGCCACACCCCTGAATAGCTAAATATTAGCAACATAATATTAGTCATTAGAATACATCTTCTGGAAGCCTTCATGTGCTGGTGTGGTAACATTCATTATACTTTGGGTCACCTCTGTGAAGGCCATGTTGAACCGCCATGTTCCTACAGTAGCCCAGAATGGACAAACCAAACACTGACTCTGGATAGGCCTGTTGTGTTTTTCGTGCATTGCGCAGCCACCGTAGTTTTTCCCTCGTGCTTGGAAAGGCATGGTGGGTGTGAGGGAGTTGCAATCTGTAACTACACCACTAGCTGCCACTAAATCCTTCACATTGGACCAACATTTGACCAGTAGGCCTAAAAATTAAATTAGAGTTAATAAAAAGTTTCATTGAACATGTAACAAACTGGCTAACTGTTTGTTAACTGTTTGTCAGTTAGCAAACGTGTTACCTCTGTCACTAATGGACTATTAAGATGAGTTTTTATTTTTATATACAGAGGGAGCCGGCCCTCTTCTATGTTTCTACAGTAGCTCAGCACACCAAACACTGCCTCTACATAGGGCCTTTTACAGGGCAAGTATCACAGCCACTGTAGTTTCTTCTACGCCCTTGGAAGGCAAGCGCTATTCAGTTAGTTGCAATCTTCAAATCCACCACTAGATGCCACTAAATCCACACATAATGGTTCTTTAATGAAAAGTCAGAGGATCCCTAAGTTAGATCCCCATCAGTATGATTCATCCTTTGGGGAGCACAAATGTCAGAACAGAATTTCAAAGCCATCCTTCCAGTAGTTGTTAAGGATGTTTCCGTCTATATCTAAAAACATCCTGAACCCTGTTTGTGACTTTGCCCTTTCTAAACCCGTCCCACGTAAAACGGAGCATTTTTCAAGCTAATGATTGACTAAAATGTCGTCAATCTGACGGATCCAGTCTCAATTCTTGCAGAGCCTCATAATGATAGCAAATCAACGAGCTCATCTTCAATGCTGAATGTGAGTCCTCCCTGAAGGAAGAGAGGATTGTGGGAGTGTGGACAGGGAGATTGTTGGACTATAATACGAGGAAGGAGATGTACAACATTAACATAAAATAAGCAAGAATGACTTCTTCATTCTTTTGACAGTCTTCATTTGTTATCCTAAATGAGGTTCAGAGTCAGTTTTAAAGCAGTTTGATGTGATGTTAGCGTGCATGAAGCATGTCATGTTCATTACTTTGGAGAGATTGTTTCCGTTCATCACAATCTGTGTGTGTGTGTGTGTGTGTGTGTGTGTGTGCGTGCTACACTGTCTTCTCTTCAGGCTTTGACAGGATATTTTCTTGTTACAACCAAATATTAAAAAATTCTATGAACATATCAAAAATGAAAAACCTATGGAATAACCCATGATTCACCCTTTATTGTTATTTCAACATAGCTAATGGGAATTTGATTTGGTGAAAAACCTCAGGGCATAACATATACATCATATAAGTAGGGATGCATGATAATTATCATCCAATAATGTGAA